GTCATTTCCTGTAAAAAATTGAAGGAGTCTAGATTAAAACAAACTAGGTGACAAAATACAAAGGGGAGATCCCACCTTCACAAAGGTAAAGAATAATGCAATTATCACAAGGTTGCTACTAAAAAACATTCCCTTGGCCAGCAAATTAGCTTCTCATTTTCCTTTGGCATGCTTATTAAGAAAAATGAACTCTATGTATGAGATTTATTTAGGAATGAAAAAAAAACAACACTTTCCGTCAAAGAAAAAGGAGAGATAATTTTAAAGCGGATGAGAAACAAAAGAGAGAAGCCAATTTTGGGACAGATGGAATAAAATACAACCCAATCAGATAAAACATAAAACAATTAATTGCATAATAGAATCTAAAGGTACATTTTGTACTACTAGAAGGTAGAGCTGGCAAACAAGTTGGTGAGGTCTGATTTGGGTTCGATTCCTTCTGGTGTGGGTTACTTTGGGATTGGATAAGTTTGGGTTTGGGTTCGGGTAGGGAAATGCATGTTCATGACCCATTATCATTGGGTTCAAGTCGACCCAACGAGTTGAACCCAATGTTGTAATGGATAGGTTTCCACTTTGGCTAGAGACATCAACCCTAAAAACTCCATGACTCTAAGGGGATGATCTCCATTTTGGATCACGTTGCATTTTAAGAGGTGTTGTTCTGTCATTATCAATGCTTTCAACTTCGTGTCTGATACTTTCCATTAAAACAGCCGAATTTGACCTAATCTCTGATAACCTAGTTGCTGATTTTGCTGGGCGAGTGGCTAAACTTGAAGGAGAGTGCTTTTTTCTGCATATGGCAACTATGATCATTATTAATCCGCGAAAAAAGTGTCCTAAAACCCTAGCTTACCATGAGCCAATACTTACACTACCAAAAGGATCAAAACAGATAGGCATATATGTTTTTCCCCCCTTCAAAATACATACATATACACACATAGTCATAAAATAATAAATATTTCACATTTATTGAGTAAAGAAAATTAAAGACACATGCCAGTGTCCATAAATTTAATTTTAAGGAAGAGTCTTAAAAATGAAAATCTGAGTGGGCATAGTCAATACCAGGTTACCAACATCATATATACCCTCTTATAGTGCAAAGTATAGCAATTAATAATAGCCATGACTAGCTTTTTTACTTGTTCCTTTCACCTGAAATCTACCACGAACCTACACCTAGAGGGTAGAGATAGAGATTCTTTATTGACCTATTAACCTCAGAACACCAAGGGCAGAGGTCCAAACCTAAGCCCACGTTTTCCACTTTCTAAAGCCATCGTGATTTAGCTTGGAATAAGTACCAATACATACAGTCATAAAGAAGAAACAAACTGAGAACAGGCTTTTCCTATTATTCGAAGGAAATAACATCCCAATCGGGGGAAAGGCTGAGAAATGTTACACTTCTTACCCGTATCGACGGAAACGCTGTCCGATACTGAGATCTTCGGGATCAAAGCTGATGGGAGAGGTTTCCATTTGCA